AACTATATATAAACTAAATGTATTATGGCTGTGTTCCGAAATCGGTTTCGGAAACTTTAGTTTTGGTTATAAAGTTGATAAACTTGAAATAAACTTTGATCACGTTCCGTAATCGATCAGCTGATACCATGGTACACTATATAAGACTGCAGAATGTGTCAAATGCAATACTGTGAACTGCAATAATAAAATGTCCGGAAAAAAGGAAAAAAGTAAATAGATTAATAGTATAGATAGATTATTATAATATTTATTATTATTATATTATTAGTATATTATTATTTATAGATAGATTATTTCTATACGTGTCTTTAGCCCGTCACCAGACTTAAAATAGGTTATTTGACACTTTCTATTTCTAGTTAATATTAGAAGAAATAAAAGTTTATAAATAGAAGTTTCACGAATCTCTCTCTTTCTCTCTCTCTCTCTCTCTCTCTCTCTCTCTCTCTCTAATCATATGAACCCATAGGTATATATACTAACTAAATAGCTGAAGTCCTAACCCCTGCCACAAAATTCTTGACCTTCATCGAACGTCGACATCTTATAGAGAAAGTTCTTCAAATGCTTCAGATAAAAAATATAACCTTTTATTTTGTAAATTTAAGTTAAACACAGCATTGACATTTATTTGTGAAATGTTCATCTCTATTCACGAGTTTTGGCGATATTACAGAAGTAATAGCATCCCATTTTATTACTTTTTATGAAGCAAAGCTTTACTTGACAATTTTTAAAAAACAAAGCTTTACTTTGCTATGTTTTTCTTTTCTCAAAATAAGTGGATTAGATATAATTAACGTGCATGTGTGAAAAATTTCCCTCTATGACGACCTTCAATTGGACATATGTATACTCAGTAAGCATATTGAGCGCAGACTGCGTGCAGATTGGCAGAAAATTTGAAAAAACCATAGCCATCTGTGTCTACATTAGGGTTTGGTTTTGGCGACAGGTTTTGCTGTCGGGCAATTGGTGCCAAATTTGCAGCAAAAACCGCGCAAAGCTTGCAGCGTAGCAAGGTCTGCGCGGTTTCTGCTGCTAATCTGCCGTCAAATTGCTACAAGCTCTGCGCAGTTTTTGCTGCAAATCTGCAGCAATTATCTGACAACAAGCTCTGCCGCATAGCTGATGGCAATTTGGCAGCAAGATTTGATATAACCGATCCTGCATCAAATTTGTTATCTATTTGCCATAAAAAGTTGATAACAAGCTCTGCTCGAAATCTGTTCGTGTAGGTTTGGCTATCTGGGTAGAACGCATATCATCTATCCGTTATTCACATATCAGTGCATGGATCACAAAGATCAGCTGATCGATTACGTAACGTAATCCACGTTAGTTTCAAGTCTGTTAACCTTATAACTGAAACTAAAATTTTCCAAACCGATTTTGGGACACAGCCTATCTGTATAATACCATGTGTAATACAATGAATTATATATCAATATAATTGGTGCTTTCCAGCAAGAGAACACAGTCATACACAGTGTAACACAGTGTTACACAGTGTTGACTTGTAGTTGGAACGCTGTTTAGTTATTTTACCTCACCGCTAGAGGACAGGGCAATCATAGTTTTTTAAAATTATTACTAAATACGCTGATCTATAGATACAAGGTAATAACGAAATAATATTACAAGGTAATATATATCAATAATTTTAAATTATATATAATTCCCTTGCTATTGAGAAAAAAAAAGGGATTTCTGACGTAAAATCGCAAAAAATTAGACTATAAAAGTAAGACTATTAAAAATAAATATCTTATAAGTTAGTTCATTAGTTATACATATATATATATATATATATATATATATATATATATATATATATATATAGAGAGAGAGAGAGAGAGAGAGAGAGAGAATGTAAATTAAGTGTAGTTATAATAATTAAATATTATTATTTTATATATAGGAATATGGAAAAGAAAATGGCAATTAGTATGCTAATGGTGAGTGAAATGCGTAATACTACAGAGAGCTTAAGTTCCAGTGAAACGGATTGGAACAGTAGTATTTCTATTAGCAATACATCTTCAAGTAGTGAAGAAAATGATAGTTATTTAATGTTATTTCCTTTATTAAAATATTTAACTAATGGACGTAAGAGACATCGAATTGAACATTATCTTTATATTGTGGATAGCTGCACAGATTTGGAATTTAAGGAGCATTTGCGAGTTAAGCGTACCACTGCAAATCAATTAATAGGTAATATTTATTTTTATTTTAAATTTTATTTTAAAAAATTATATAATGTTGTTAATATGGTTTTATAATATTTAATACCTATAGTTCTTTATCATATTTTAGATGAATTACAAGAAAGAATTACAAGAAAGAATTACAAGAATTTATTCCCACGCATTTATTTGGAGTAAAACCAATTGAAGCAAAACTCAGTTTTCTTATATTTTTGTGGCACTTAGCAAACACAGAACCTTTGCGGACAATATCAGATAGATTTGACGTTTCAATTTCATCTGTTTTTCGAATAATTCGTCGAGTTACAGCTTGGATTTTGACAAAATTAGATAATGTTATCAAATGGCCTCAAGAACAACAGGTTGTATATATTTGTCATGAATTTGAAACTAAGAGAAGCATACGAAATATAATAGGAGTAATTGATTCCACTCATATTAGAATAGAAAAACCTAATATCGAAAATGTAAGAGACTATTGTAACCGCAAAAAATATTTCTCTGTAAATCTGCAAGCTGTTGTAGATGCGAGTATGAAATTCACGAATATATACTGTGGTCAACCTGGTTCTTTCCATGACGCACGAGTGTTGAGAAAATCTGCATTATACAATGTAGCTAATGAACATGAAGAAGAAATGTTTTCAAATGACACGTTTATAATCGAAGATATAAACTGCATATCCATCATTGCAGTGGCTTGTTCCTCCTTTTCGTGATAATGATCACCTTACTGCTCAACAGACCGAATTTAATTTCATACATTCTTCTTCACGAATTGTTGTAGAAAGAGCATTTGGTTATCTCAAAGGACGTTTCTGACGGATTAAATTTTTTACAGAATATCGTGACATGTCATTCATTACAAAAACTATTGTAGCTGCATGTATTTTGCATAATTTGTGTATAGATTGCAATGACAAGAATGACAATGATTATAATGTAGAAATGGAGGAATTGGATGTAAATATTAATAATAATCTTAACGAGAATATTAATTGGAGAGACCAGGTAGATCGAAGAATGCAAGTATTCAGGGAAATATTTACTCAGGAATAAATAATGTACATTTGGTAATCCAGTATCATGAATATATTTGTTACAAATTAACATAGAATAGTAGACAATAATAAAAGAACATAGGAAGTAAAAAATAATAGTACTAACTTTGAGATAACAAACCGATAGCTACACTACCAATAGAAACACAAAATAAATGAACTTGTTTTTTGAATATGCAATTATTAATTATAATTACATATAACTGTATATGGAATACATTAATACCCATTAAATAAAAATGCACTTTGTAAATAAATTATTAACAATAAATAATATCCATTTACTCGTTAGAGTCATCACAGATAGTTTCTTGTATTCCTTTTTTTGTATATGCTAAATCACATCCTATAATTAAAACTAAAATACTAAGTTACTAAATACTTTTAACTAAGTTACTAAATACTTTTATTAAAATTAGAAAAAAAAAAATTTAATCATAATACTTTGCTACAAAACGACTTAATGATATGTTAAATATTAAATGAAACTGAATTTGTATTAAACGTAGTGTGACGTGGCGATTTCGCCGTCACCGATTTTGACCGGGAGACAAGGAGAGCTGTGCTCACGCCCCCTTCTCCCGCGGGAAGGGCGGCGGCAAAGAATTTGGTCTCGCCCGCTTTTGCGTGCGAGATCGCGTTGTTGTAATTTTTTTGTTTTATTTGTGTGCTCGGGCTGCGACGAGAATGACGGAGTGCATCTATCGGAGCGAGGCGACGACGGACCTGAAGTGGACGACGAGCTAAACGACGTTGCCATAAGCAACGGGGGCCCCGATTAACTTGCCGCGGGACGCCAGGAAGAGCTGGACCTTAAGAACCAGATCCCGGGGGACGCCCTGGGATACCAAGAACTTCCGGCAGCCACCTGAGCGCCCACGCCAGTTAAGGATGCCGTCGGGCACAGGATCCCGTCGACGAGGAGTCAGAGAATTCGGCGGTGTAGCGCGGGCCCTGTAAGGCGCCCGCGCTAGAGCCGTACATTCCCGCAGGACCAATAGGGCCTAGCGGCGATCGGCGGCTGAGACCGCGAGCCTAAGGAGCCTCGCGCTCGCGGAGAAATTCGTCACTGTGCGGATAGCGAGCGACGCGAGTGCTGCGAACGATCCTGCGAGCGAGCGAACGATCCAGCGAGCGAGCGAACGATCCTACGAGCGAACGAACGAGCCTGCGAACGAGCGAGCTAGCGGACGGAGAACGAGGGGCGAGCCCAGCGAGGGATATTTGATGAGCTGTCTTCCACCTGTCGTTCAGCCCGAGCGCCGAAAAACCGGGATGGTTGCCATCGCTTCACGACGGCAGCCGGAAGGGTTCGTCGCCATCCTTGACGACCCGTTCGACTTCGTGATCGCGGGCTCAGATTCGGGGCCCGCGAGAGAATAGCCGTCCTTACCGCGCTGCCTGCTGCCGCTTCACCGCGTTCGCGACCGCACAGTACGGCGAGCGATTGCGTGAAAATTATGACGACTCGCGATCATTCGTAGAAAGTGCGGGTCTCCGAGTGGCGAGAGTGGCGAGAAATACGTGGTTCGCGACGTGACAATTAGGGCCGGGATGCACCCGGCTGGCGCCCAATTCAGCAATTAGCGTGTAACGATAGAATTTCGCGAGTCTCGTGTCGTCCGAACTCCGCGAGGCAGAAGGATCCTTGACTACGGATCCAGCTGCCGAATGGCTTCACGACTACGCGACTCGAAGCCCGCACCACGTCTCTTGTAGAATCTTTCTTTTGTTGTTTTTTTTTTGTTAAATACAGCGTAATGTTAAACGATATGTGTGTTTATTCGTGATTCCTCCGACTCTGTCGCCTGTTACTCTCGTGTCGCGCGAAGGAAGGTCGCGCGTCGACACACGAACCCCGCCGCTCTATCGAGTCAGATATTTTTTTTGGAGAGCTGCCGGCAAGCTCGGCCGTCGCCGCAACGGCGGAGACGAAGTTTTGGCCGTATTCTTGCATATAACTAACGAAGAACGATCACAGTAGTAATAATTAAAGTTAAATGACATCTGAGTTTATAAGTATATCAAGCGACACGTTAGTGTCGCGAAGCCAAGTGCAAGTGCGAGACGGCCGTGTATACTAACGTCACGAGACTAGTTGAATACACACCAGATTTCTTGTTTGACCATAACGGTTGAATCGATGAGATTCTAGATAGGCTCAATCGATTCCTTGGGTTTATGTTAGTTAATAAAACTGCCTTTACTTTTGCTCTACGTTTTCTAGAACCTGAGATATTTTAGCTCAAAGACCGAAATCGCTAAGTTTTACGATTGAGGAATTCGCCGTCTGAGAAAATGTCCAGGTTGACGTATTTGTCGCCAGAGGCGCTATGGCTCAGATTAGGTGTTCGGAAACTCGGTATGAGTTATAGTTTGTTCTTTGTAGCTGCGCTGCTGAATTGGTGCAATAAGTTAGAGCGAGACAAAATATACTTTCACTCGGGTAGGACCCGATTGACCACGATACGATTGGACACAGATTGTAATGATTGGTTCGACCTAGTAATTCACTAGATAATTCTTTTCATCGGTTGGTTGTATCCAGTCGTATTGTGGTCAATCGGAACGCTCCCCTTTCATTCTAGTTCTCACTCTAACTTATTGAACCAGTTCATTGTTGATAACTATACTGAATGAATTATTTGACTGTGAATATTTTATTAGAAGTTATGTGCTATATATAATATATATATATATATATATATATATATATATATATATATATTGCGACGCTACTCGCGAACGGAATGTCGCGAGCGACGGCAAACAGTTGCCTGTTAGCCGCGTCGGCAAATTGCCGTCGGCGCCCGGACACGCCACTAAGATATCCGCGATAGTTGGGCGCCAGATGCGGGAAGGCCGCACCACATCGAAATACGCGAGAGTCGATAATTATTACCGAAAAAAACGCGCGTCCCGGAACCGTCGGGACCGGTAGCTCTTATTAAATTAAAGTCGGAGACGGGATGGGTTAGGAGAAGGCGAAATCACTTGACTCGATATCGATAATAGAAATGACGTTTATTAAGGGGACTCTCGCACGTCCCGATATTCGGTACGCGATAGAAGCTCGTAACGGTAACGTTCCTCGTGAGACGATACCGTTCGCGAAACGCTACACGAAGCCCGAGGACGTTTTCCTCGGGCGAGCCCTTTCTTACTCGCGCGACCACTCCGCGGACGAGAGACGGTACGATACTGGTCGATATGCGACACAAATAAATTTGGAGCAGATAGTCAATCTTACAAGTTCGGCGACAGCCCTTGCGTCGGCGGCGGCGTCGGCGGTCCTCTCTCTCTCTCCGCTCTCTCTCCCTCTCTCCCTCGCTCCGCTCCCTCCTCGGTCGCTCTCTCGCCGTTCGCTCTGGCTCCGCACTCTCTCTCTCACTGTTCTCTCCCTCTCGCTCCCTCGTCACTCTCTCGCTCTCCCCGCTCTCTCTCTCTCTCTCTCTCTCTCGCTCTTTCTCACGCACTGTCGGTAAGGTATGCGGACGAATTTTCTTAATTTTCGTGTCTGAGCGCGGCAATGGTCGCGGTAAGGCTGCCAGCTGATTCTTCCTGGGAGGATCGCGTATCCTCGCGGATCCTCCCTCGTCGCTGCCCCCCTCGTCCGGTGGTGGTCGGTCGTCGAGAATCGGCAGATTTCAGTAATCTGGTCTCGAGACACTGTTGACATCGGGAGTTCGCCTGTTGTCTCTCTTGGCTCTCCCGTTTTTTTCTGCCGGGTTCCTCACGACGGCTGCTTCGTTAAAAATAAACACAGCTGTCTAGGTATAGCTTCCGGAATGGAGCCGTGTCTTGAATCAGCGATATGCCGACGTTTCGCAAACGTTGCAGTTTGCATCATCAGGGCTGAGAACTCTGATACTGAGCTTCCTTGGGTAAAGATAGTCCTTATATGCCCCCCCCCCC